GAAATTTCCCATTCATGTAAAGTGGTCTTAATATTAAATCCTAACAAAGAGCCCTAGCCAGTTTCGCTCAGTGGATTGAGCGTCAACCCATGGACTAAAGAGTCACAGGTTCAAATCCGGTCAAGGTTACATACCTTACTAGTAGTTGTAGGCTCAATCCCTGGCTGGCCCCAATAGGGGTCGTGTAGAAGGCAACCAATTGATGTGTCTCTCTCACATCCATGTTTCTTTCCCTGTGTCTCTCCCCCTCCCTTAGAATTCAAAAAAGTCAATGGAAAGCCCACCTGGGTTGGCTCAGTGGTTGAGTGTTAACCTATGAACCAGGAGGTCATAGTTCAATTCCTGGTCAGGGCATATGCCTGGGTTTTGGGCTCAATCCTCGACTGTGCAGGAGGCAGCCAATCAATGATTCTCATCATTGATGTTTCTATCTCTCTTCCTTCTCTAAAACCAATAAAAAGAATTTTAAAAAACTTGATAAAGATACTAAAACCTAGAAGCCAAATTATGGCTGCAATATTTCAAAATAGTACCTATACATTAAGTCTAAAGACTATTAAGGGGAGGGAGGGTTGGGGCTGGGTGAAAAAGGTGAAGGGATTAAAAACAACAACAACCTCTTAACATAGAGACAACAGTGTGATGATTCCCAAAGGGGAAGGGGTGGGGAGAGGTAGAAGAGGGTACAGGGGGCATAAGTCATAATGGGAGATTGACTTGGGGTGGTGAACACACAATACAATATATAGGTGATATTTTATAGAAGTATACACCTGAAATCTATTGAATTTTATTAACCAATGTCACCCCAATAAGTTGAAAGAAAAAAAGATGGGCCCGAGTAACCAAAAAAAAAAAAAAAAAAAAAAATTAACACTAACCGAGTAGGGTTTATTCCAGGAGCACAAGGTTGGTTTAATAGAGAATCTATCAACATAATTCATTACATATACAAATTAATGAAGAAAAATATGATCATATTAACAGATGCTGAAAGGAATTTGATTAAATTTCAGCAGCCATTCTTTAAAAAGCAGTAATGGAATAACAGGAAGTATCCTAATGGTCAAACTCTAAGATAATTTCTATTAGAATCAAGAACTAAACAGGGATGCCCACTAACAATTGTTTTAGAAGACTCAAGAAGGTAAAAAAAAAAAAAACCTCTACCTTTTAGATCACATGTGCCTAAAACCTCAAGCCTTGATAGAGATATGATAGAACTAAGTGAATTTAGGAAGGTGGACAGATAATAGAGAAATATTAATGATTGTTAAAAGCAAAAGCACTGAAAAAAACATTCTATCTAAAATAACAAAAGCAGCCCTGGCCTGGTAGCTCAGTTAGTTAGAGCAGTGTCCCCTATGGCAAGGTTGAGGGTTTGATCCCTGGTCAAGGCACATACAAGAATCAACCAGCCCTGGCCGGGTTTCTCAGTGGTTAGAGCATCAGCCCATAGACCAAAGGGTCCTGTGTTTGAGTCCCCATCCAGAGTATGTTATCTGGGTTGCAGGTTCCTCAGCCCCTGGAGGGGCGCATGCGGGAGGCAATCATTTGATGTGTATCACTTTGATGTTTCTCTCCCTTCCAATCCCTAGAAATCAATGGAAAAAATATTCTCTGCTGAGGATTTATTTTAAAAAGAAGAATCAGCCAGTGTGCACATAAATAAGTGGAGCAATAAATCAATGTTTCTCCTTCCCTTCCTCTCAAATCAATCAAATTTTTTAAAATAACAAAAGCAATAAAATATTTAGGAATAAGTGCCTGGCTGGTGTTCCTCAGTGGTTGAGCATCCACCCATGAACCAGGAGGTTACGGTTCGATTCCTGGTCAGGGTACATGGCTGGGTTGGGGGCTCAGTCCCCAGTGAAGGCATGCAGTAGGCAGCCATTCAATGATTTCTATCATTGATGTATCTATCTCTCCCTTTCTCTGAAATCAATAAAAATATTTTAGGAATAAGTTTAACAACACCGACACACAGAATATGGCACAGGACCTATATGAAGAAATTGATAAAACCTTACTTAAGGATATAAACCAAGCTCCAAACAAAAGAGACCATATTCTTAGATGGGAAAACAGTATATCCTAAAAGTCAATTGTGAAATAAAGATACAATGCTATTCCATTTAGAATCCCCAAAAGGTTTTTGTTTCTGTAAATAAGTGCCCAAGAATAGCCAATCGTTGTTTTAAAAAAAGAATTAGGGCCCTTGCTGGTTTGGCTCAGTGGATAGAGCATCGGCCTACAGACTGAAGGGTCCTGGCTTTGATTCCAGTCAAGGGCACATGCCAGGTTGTGGGCTCGATCCTCAGTGGGGGGTGTGCAGGAGGCAGCTGATCAATGATTCTCTCTCGTCATTGATGTTTCTATCTCTCTCTCACTCTCCCTTCCTCTCTGAAATCAATAAAAATATATTTTAAAAATAAAAATAAAGAAAGAATTAGGGAACTTGCTTGTTGAATATGAAAAAAAATTACTATGAAACAACCAGTTAGAGCAATATAGCTTAATATATGGAGTGGTAAACAGTCCAGGGGCAGGGGTAGCAAGGAGTGGATCCAGAGGTAGACCTCAATATATAGGAAATGTTATTATATGGCCAAAGTTTTTCAATTTAGTGGGAATAAATTACAGATTTTTTAAATGAAGTTGACACAACTGGAAAAATAAAATTGGACTCCTAATTTACAAAAACAAAAATAAACCAGGTGAATTAAAGAGAATGTCAATTTTAAATGAAATTTAAATCCCGCCCTGGCCCGTGGGCTAAATGGTTACAGCATCTGCCTGTGCACCGAAGCATCTCTGGTTCGATTCCTGGTCAATGGCCTATACCGGGGTTGCAGGTTCCAACCCTCACCCTGGTTGGGGTACGTGCGGGAGACAACCAATCAATGTGTCTCACATTGATGCATCTCTCTCTCT